TATTTGTCCTGAGCCACAGGAAGAACTGCAGGGACTGAGAAGGGGAAGGCAGGAGGGGGCGGATCTGGGGGAAGGCTGAGAGCCCAGCTAGGCGTGATCAGTTTGAGAAGGTCAGAGGTGTTAATAGACAGTCACTGCCTCCCCTGGCTTCCCGAATTGCCCTGCCAGAACCTGCCAGCTGGGCTCAAGGCACCCAACCTCCCTCCTGCTCCTCCCAGGTCCATGGAGCTGGAGTCGGTGGGGATGGGTGGTGCGGCAGCCTTCCGGGAAGTTAGAGTGCAGTCGGTGGTGGTGGAGTTTCTGCTCACCCACGTGGACGTCCTGTTCAGCGACACCTTCACCTCTGCAGGCCTCGACCCTGCAGGTATGCTTTCCCACCCCCTGAGGACCTGGCTGCTGCCTCCCACGGTCAGGGCTGCAGGGGAGGGCAGGTGGGCTCCCAGTCCCATCCCTACCCTACTGAAGCTGGGCCTCCCTCCCGGCTCCCTGAGGACCCCGCGCCCCGGCCTCTCCCTCCCCGCGCCCCCCTCCTTCTCATTTCAGCTCCTCCGCTCAGGATTCCCACCTCTTGGCCCGGACGCCGCTCTTTCTTCATCCCTTGTAGCTCCTGGGGGCGCTTGGGGCCATGGGTCCACCAGGGAGGAGGTGGGAGGTCCCCAGACTTGACCCCGCCCAGGCCCCACCCAGACACCCCGCCCTGCCCCGGACCCACCCAGACTCCCCGCCCTGCCCCGGACCCCAGCCCAGTCAGGACTCAGCACGTCGGAGGGCCCTCTGGCCCGAGGTAACTGAAGCCAGAGCCGCTGCCCTCGCTGGCTGCTGGGAGCTGCCTCCTCATCAGCTCGTCCTGCTCCACCCTCCTCCCACCTGCCTGCTGCCCCCGCCCACTCCTGCCTGTTCCGTCCCGCCTTGCCAGCCCGGGTGGGCACGCTGCGGGGCCGGGGGCTTGGGCTGTGGCGCTTGGCTTTGCCTGTGGCATTAGGTGGCCTCAGGGCTGACAGCTCCTCCCTTTCCACACTCCCCAGGCCGCTGCCTGCTCCCCAGGCCCAAGTCCCTTGCGGGCAGCTGCCCCTCCACCCGCCTGCTGACGCTGGAGGAAGCCCAGGCACGCACCCAGGGCCGGCTGGGGACACCCACGGAGCCCACAACTCCCAAGGCCCCAGCCTCACCTGTGGAAAGGTGAGTGGGATGCTGGATTCTAGGGGTGGCAAGGGGTAGGTGGAGGCCTGGTTCCTCAGATGGCCTCCCATTTCTCCTCCAAACCGCAGGAGGAAAGGGGAGAGAGGGGAGAAACAGCGGAAGCCAGGGGGCAGCAGCTGGAAGACATTCTTTGCACTGGGCCGGGGCCCCAGTGTCCCTCGAAAGAAGCCCCTGCCTTGGCTAGGGGGCACCCGTGCCCCACCACAGCCTTCAGGTGAGAGGCTGGGCCATGGGCTGGTGGGCATTGGGAGTCGCTGGAGTGCCTCCTACCTCTCCCTCTCCTGCAGGTGGCAGACCCGACACCGTCACACTGAGATCTGCCAAGAGCGAGGAGTCTCTGTCATCGCAGGCCAGCGGGGCTGGTGAGCAAGGCGGGGCGAGTGGGGGTGCGACCTGTGCCCAAGTGGAGCCGGGAGGACATGGGGCCCTGGTTTGGCCTCCAGATTTTGTACTTCATGTTTTGGGGTCCTGGGGCTTTTAAAAAATTTAACCCGGTCTTTATGTACAATGAGTTGGATACAGTATCACTTTTGGTTCATTACACACTGAACTTAACTTACTCATTGTTCCACGATGGGCCCTTTAAAAGTCTTTATTATTCCTGCTTAACATTTTTAAATAATATTATGGACATCCATGAACCCACCAGGCAAAACTAGAGCAGCCTGTTCCTTCTTCCCTTTGAGGTTCCCCCCCACCAGAGGCATCCTCTCCATTCCAAGGCCACCATGCCCTTGCTCTCCGGGTTTGATTACACACGGGTGTGTATAAGGAACACACTGCTCATTCAGTTTGAGTCATTTTGGAAACTTTATTTAAAGAGCGTTGTAATGAAAGGGGCATCACCCTGCATGGGGAGCTTGGCTTTTTCCCCATCGCTACCTGGAAGTCCACAGTGCCGCTGGGTTCTGCCCTCTGGCCTCTTTGGGGGCTGCTTATCCACCACACCCAGCCATGGTTCAGGGGGCTCTTCTGAGCCAGTGCGCCGTCCTCCTGTCCTCGTACTCCTGGGGTACTGCTCTCTACATATCCAGGAGCAGAGGCGCTGTCCTGCCGGCTCGTCAGCCACGTGTGAGTCTGTCTCGTGCTTACAGCGTGTGGGGTGGCCACAGGGCCTTTGTGCGTGGGGCCAAAAGTGTCCTCTTCATGGTCTCCTTCGCCATGAAACTGAACAGCTCTTCCTGGCTTCGCAGCCACTGTGGCCCTTTCTGGGGAGGTGCCTCTTTATGTCCTTTCCCCAGCTTTCTGTGGGGCTGTGCACCCTATTCTAAGCAATGGTCTCACTGACTCCATCCCTCCAGGCCTCCAGAGGCTGCACAGGCTGCGGCGACCCCACTCCAGCAGTGACGCTTTCCCTGTGGGCCCAGCACCTGCCGGTTCCTGCGAGAGCCTGTCTTCGTCCTCCTCAGAGTCCTCCGAGTCCTCCTCTTCATCCTCCGAGTCCTCAGCAGCTGGGCTGGGGGCACTCTCTGGGTCCCCCTCGCACCGTACCTCAGCCTGGCTAGATGATGGTGATGAGCTGGACTTCAGCCCACCACGCTGCCTGGAGGGACTCCGGGGGCTGGACTTTGATCCATTAACCTTCCGCTGCAGCAGCCCTACCCCAGGGGATCCTGCACCTCCAGCAAGCCCAGCACCCCCCGCCCCTGCCTCTGCCTTCCCACCCAGGGTGGCCCCCCAGGCCATCTCACCTCGAGGGACCACCAGCCCCGCTTCACCTGCTGCACTGGACATCTCTGAACCATTGGCTGTATCAGTGCCACCCGCTGTCCTAGAATTGCTAGGGGCTGGAGGAGCACCTGCCTCAGCCACCACAACACCAGCTCTCAGCCCCAACCGGACCCTGCGCCCACATCTCATCCCCCTGCTGCTGCGTGGAGCTGAGGCCCCACTGACTGACACCTGCCAGCAGGAGTCGTGCAGCAAGCTCCGGGGAGCCCAGGGCCCGCTCGGTGAGTCCTGCTCAGCCTTCCCACCCCTGCCCTGCCTGTCCTCACTGACTCTGAGGGCCTGGACCCAGCTGAACCCCTCTCAACCCCTCTCTTCCTTCCTTGATATAGGTCCTGATACAGAGTCACCATTGCCACCCCCTCCCTTGTCTCTCCTGCGACCTGGGGGTGCCCCACCCCCGCCCCCCAAGAACCCAGCACGCCTCATGGCTCTGGCCCTGGCTGAGCGGGCTCAGCAGGTAGCCGAGCAACAGAGCCAGCAGGAGTGCGGGGGCACCCCGCCTGCTGCCCAATCCCCCTTCCGCCGCTCGCTGTCTCTGGAGGTGGGCGGGGAGCCACCAGGAACCTCAGGGAGTGTACCAGCCCCCAACTCCCTAGCCCACCCGGGTGCCTGGGTGCCAGGACCCCCACCCTACTTACCAAGGCAACAAAGTGATGGGAGCCTGCTGAGGAGCCAGCGGCCCATGGGGACCTCAAGGAGGGGAATCCGAGGCCCCACACAGGTCAGTGCCCAGCTCGGAGCAGGGGGAGGGAGCAGGGGGAGGGAGCAGGGGGAGGGAGCAGGGGGAGGGAGCAGGGGGAGGGAGCAGGGGGAGGGAGCAGGGGGAGGGAGCAGGGATGCGCCAGAGGCAGCAGCCCAGTCCCCATGTTCTGTCCCCTTACAGGTTCCTGCCCCCGGCTTCTTCTCCCCAGCCCCCAGGGAGTGCCTGCCACCCTTCCTTGGGGTCCCCAAGCCAGGCTTGTACCCTCTGGGCCCCCCATCCTTCCAGCCCAGTTCCCCAGCCCCAGTCTGGAGGAGCTCCCTGGGGCCCCCTGCACGCCTCGACAGGGGAGAGAACCTGTACTATGAGATCGGGGCAGGTGAGGGGTCCCCCTATTCTGGCCCCGCCTGCTCCTGGAGTCCCTTTCGCTCCATGCCCCCTGACAGGCTCAATGCCTCCTACGGCATGCTAGGCCAATCGCCCCCACTCCACAGGTCCCCCGACTTCCTGCTCAGCTACCCACCCGCCCCCTCCTGCTTTCCCCCCGACCACCTTGGCTACTCAGCCCCCCAGCACACTGCCCGGCGCCCGACCCAGCCCGAGCCCCTGTACGTCAACCTAGCCCTAGGGCCCAGGGGTCCCTCACCTGCCTCTTCCTCCTCCTCTTCCCCTCCTCCTGCCCACCCCCGAAGCCGTTCAGATCCCGGTCCCCCAGTTCCCCGCCTTCCCCAGAAACAACGGGCACCCTGGGGCCCCCGAACCCCTCACAGGGTGCCCAGTCCCTGGGGCACCCCCGAGCCTCTCCTGCTCTACAGGGCAGCCCCACCGGCCTACGGGACGGGGGGTGAGCTCCACCGAGGGTCCTTGTACAGAAATGGAGGACAAAGAGGGGAGGGGGCTGGACCCCCACCCCCCTACCCCACTCCCAGCTGGTCCCTCCACTCTGAGGGCCAGACCCGAAGCTACTGCTGAGCGCCAGCTGGGAGGGGGCCGTCCTTGCTTCCCTTCATCCTCACTGGATCTTGGCCCAGACAAATCCCTTGTTTTGTATTTTCTTGAGCCCTGACCCCTACCCCAGGTTTCTAACTTTCTAACTTGTTTCTGATGTGGGTTTCTAACCTGTAATCCCAGCTTCCCTATCCTGGGCTGAAGGGTCTGCCCATCCCCCACCTCCCTCCATCCTCGCACAAATCTGGGGAGGGGGCGCTAGGCTGACCCCATCCTCCTCTCCCTCCAGGAGCCCCCAGCATGTCCTAACCTGTGCATGGGGGTGGAGGGACAGTTCCTGCCCTTCTCTCCCCACACGCCCCACTAAACCATCTGACAACATTAATGAATAAAACGGTGAAAATGTGGCTGCTGGTGTCGTGCTGGGGCCAAACTCAGTGAGGGAAGAGAGACGGAGGAGGTGCTCTATCATTCTATTTCCTTTTGGGGAGGCACCATGGTGGGAGTTACTCCTGGGAAGCTCTGAGAGGCGGTATCTCAGAGAGGGAACCATGGGTACCCTGGGAGTCTGGGTCAGGAGTGGGGCTCAGGCTGGGCTTTTCTCCGAGCTGACATCCTTTTTGCAGCTCTGCCATGATCTCCTCCAGCAGGTCCATCCTGGCGAGCAGGGAGGCAAGGGTAGACCGAGGGTTACCTCAGGGATAAAGAAGGGCCTCGGGGTCCTCCCATGCAAGGTCTCAGGTCTCACTTCTGCAGGCTGGGGAAAAGACCTCCTCCAGTCAGCTCAGCACCGGGTGTCTGCAGGAGAGAAGGCTGCAGCTGCCACCTGCTAGCCATGGCGCTCCAGTGGGCCTGGGAGTGTGGGATGGGGCACAGGCTGGGCTCGGGGTCCTCTGCTTAGCCTGCCCGTGGCCTTCTGTGCCGGCAGCCTCCCAGTGTGTGGGAAGCCTCCCTGTGGTTCAGCAGGCTGGGGGTGGGCTCACAGGGCTGGGGGTCCGGCAGGGTAACCCTGTGTGTGTGCCGCAGCAGCCCCTGCAGGGCCGGAGTCTTGGCCGAGCGCTTCCTCAAAGTGCTCCGCAGAGCCCGGGGTCCCCAGCAGGGAGGCTGAGTCCTGGAGGCTGGAGTTGGAGTGCAGGGAAGGGCCCTGGGGAAGCAGGGTTGGTTAAGGGTCACAGGTGAGAGAGGGGACAGTTTGGCGTCCCTGAAGTTCCCTGGTCAAAGGAGGGCAGCCAGGGAACTCGGGGTTGGTGACTACTGGAGGGCGGGCGGAGGGGGCCACAGGTTAGCAATGGGACAGCGGTGCAGGGCTCTGGGGTATCCGTACCGTTGAGCCGGGCTCTCCGCAGCACTGCAGGTAGGCCCTGGCTGTGGGGCTGTGGCCAGGCCCGGGGCTGCTGCCTAGAGTCAAACTGCTGCCCGAGTTCCAAGCTACGCCCCTCGGGACCCTGCTGTGGCCTGTGACCTCAGGAGTCTCCGGGGCCTGCAGAGAGGAATGGCAGAGAGCTGCCGTGGCTTGCCCAGGTGTCCCACAGCTCCCCTGGCCCCCCACAGCCCCATCCTGGCTCCCACCTGGGATGGGATGGGGCCTGGAGACGTCAGAGTGGGCACAGGCCTGGGTGTGCTCTTGGCTCTGTGAGCCATTTCACAGTACAGTTTCTCTGTGGGGGCAAACCAGTTGGTCGGATGGGGGGCACAGCTCAGCTGTGCCCAGCACCCGCCATTGTCTCCTCCTCCTTGCCCTCTAACCTGGTGGGGAAGCCTGGGATGCAGGGGACAGCGTGGTCCACTCCATCGGGGAGCCCACCTCAGGAGCCATGTCCTGTGGACCAGAGGCTGGGTATGGGGACATGGGCCTGCCTGGGGTCCCACGGCCACCACCCACGCCCTGCCGACCTGCCCTGTACCTGGGCCGTGGCCTCCCGCAGCAGGTATCGGGTACTCTGCAGGCTGCCCCAGCGGTCGGCAGGTGCCAGGCCTAGCCCAGCTTGAACCAGGGCCTGGTAGGGCGCCGGCACCCGAGGGTCCAGGGCCGGGCTCTCCCCTGCCTCCAGCTTGGCCTTCACCTCGGGTCCCCCTCTACCAGCCCAGGGCAGCTCTCCTGCCAGGAAGCACAGTTAGGGACCCAAGCAGGAGGGTGCCTCCCTGGGGCAGGGCACAGCCACTCACTGACCAGTGAAGACCTCCTGGGCCAGGGTGCAGAAGCTGTAGAGGTCCGAGGTGGTGGTGGGAGTGTCCCTGCAGATCAGCTCAAGTGGCAGCCATGGGTACAGTTCAGGGGGTGGGGGAAGCCCTGGGCCTGGGCCTCCCCACGGGTAACCCTGCTGTGGCCTGTGGACCCCAAGGAGCCTGGTGAGCCGATGGCTGCTGGACAGGGACCTGCACCCACCACCAGACCGAGGAAAACTGAGACCCCAGGTCACACAGCGGCCCAGCAGTGGGAGGGCCAGCAGTGTTACTCCTGTAACACTCTCAGTGCTCCTCCCCACCCCCACCTCCTTCCTGGGGCCTACAGGACACAGCTGTGCCTGGCCACAGAGGCTGGAGAATGGGGAGGAAGGGAGCGGCGTGCAGGCCCGAGACAAGGGGCAGCAGGTGCGGCAGGGGCTCACCTGGGCCGCAGCCAGCGCTGGTGCAGGGGGCGCCCGTGCTCCAGGTGGCCCACCTTAGCCAGGCCTGGCCGTACCAGCTGCACAGCATGGGAGCTGAGGCCGCCGTGAGCTCGCCAGCGGGCCTGCAGGAACAGCAGGGCCTCCAGCACCTGCAGCAGCAGGGGGCCAGGCGGCAGGCCCGGCACAGTCCGGGGTCCCTCCTCACTTGGTCCCCGAGGGTGCAGCACCCCGTGCAGGGAGCCGAGCCACACAGGCTCAAAGAGAAGGCACAGCCCCGACAGGTCTGCAGAGGGGCTAAGTGCCATCAGCAGCAACAGGCCGGGGTGGTGCAGCGTGCTGGGCAGGAGGAGAGCAGGCCACTCAGGAGTAGGCCCCAGCCACACAGGGTGGGAGCTGCTCCTGGGCACAGACCACCCACCACGTTCTGGGTCAGGTGGTCTGCACCCGCCCCCAGACAGAGGAGAATGACCCTGGGTCACGCAGCCTAGCAGTGGAGGGCCAGCACCCAGCTCCCACCTTGTCCTGGTGCCCTCTCCACCCCCACCTCCTCTCAGGCCTACAGGGCACTGCACACAGAACTGGTACCCACCCACTGTCCAGTGGGGGGATCGCCCCAGCAGGAGAGCTCCATGCCAGGTGCTGGTCCAGAAGTAAAGACTCCAGCCATGGCTACAGCCACACACCCTGGTCTTCCACGGGAGGGCCGGCAGGAGGCTGGGCTGGGGGCTGGCACGGGTACCTGCAGTGCTGAAGGTCAGCCAGGAGCACATCAGGCTGGGTTCCAGGGGACTTCAGCTGCCGCACGGTCACGGGGTGGCCCCTCCACAGGAGGCTGGAGAATGGGGGGGTGGGGGCAGGACAGGTCTGAGACAAGGGGGGTTTTCCCAGGGGGGCCGCAAGAGAGCTGACAAGGGTGTGGCGGGGCTCTCACTTGGCCATGAGGGTGTGGGAGCTGCTCTCGTAGGTGCGGTCGGCCTCTCCCTGGGCTGCCAGCAGCTCCTTGGGGTCCGCAAGGGGGATGCCCGTCACCAGCCCCAGCGGCCACAGGCTACTCAGCTGGGGACAAGGAGCAGGACCATGAGGCACGAAGAAGACGGGTGGTTCCCACTCCCCCAACCGCTCCCGCTTACCTGACCAAACCCCAAGGCCGGAACTTGGGGGGCTCTCCTGATCTGCGCTAGTCTCAGCGCCCTGGGGTGGGGGCAGGCCGAGGATAAGGCTGGGGTGGCCGAGGATAAGGCTGGGGTAGCTGGGCATGGCGGGCGGGTGGGCTTCAGGGTGTGGACAGTTACCTGTCTGCCTGCATCAGCCTCAGGGAGGACACGGAGTCAGGCGGGCTGTTCCCAGATCTGGCCTGCAACTGGCCCAGAGATGCCATGGGTGGCAACTCACCACCATGCAGCAAGGCTGATATGTGGGCCCCGCAGAGCTGGAACAGCTCCAGCACCTGGAGGAGGGCACGTGGGGTGAGGCCCAGTGGGAGCCGGCCCGGAACTCTCCCTCCCACCAAGGCCACTGCTCACCTCCCAGTTCTGCTGGGCCCCACCCTGCTCAGCCCAGTCTCGGGGGGTGCGACCCCGCCGGTCATGCAGTCGCAAGTCACCCCCCGCCTGCAGCAGGGGCAGCATTACCAGGCTTCGGCCAGAGAAGGCGGCTGCGTGTACAGGGGTGCTGCCATCCAGGCAGCGGCTAGAGCAGAACAAGGCAAGTGCGAGTCAATTAGGGAAGGGACTGAAGAGGGACTAAAAGGGGCAGGATGGAGGCCCTGAGGGGTGGGAGGAGTCATATGAGGATAGGCGGGGTCAGGTGAGGACATGATGGGTTCTTTAGGGGGTGACGATCACTGCCAACACGGAGGCACCGGGAGAATGGGAATTGTCAGTGGGGAATGCGAAGGGGTTAACTGAGAGGACAAGGAGGGTCACTGGGGTGACAGGAGGGTCACCAAAGAATGGAAGAGGTGTCACGAGGAAAAGATGCCTCAGGAGAAGAAAGCCCTGGCTCTCAGGCACTCAAAGTCAGGCCCCTAGGATGGCAGGCATCGCTGGCTGGCCACTCACTGGTTGGGGTTGGCACCAAAGGTCAGCAGGAGCTGCACGGCAGAGATGTGACCCAGTAGCGCAGAGAGGAAGAGCGCCGTCTGCCCCTCGGAGTTCTCCCCATCCACCTGGACACCTGAAGGGCGGGCAGGCTTAGGACGCCCCCGGCCCACACTTCTGAGTTGGAGGCCTGAGGGCCGATAGGCAAACACCCTTGCCGATTCCCATCCTCTACAGCCTGTCCTTGACTGGAATGACTGTGGACTCCAGGTTCTATCTCCGTGTCCTGGAACCCCCACCCTCCAGCTGCTGAGAACCATGCCTCGAAATCCACCTCAATACAGTGCTCCTGAAACCATTAAGTCTACAAAGTTGAAACAAGGGGTAACATCTGCCTGCTGTGCAAATATCTATCCCCCATCCCAGGGGGGTCAAAACCATACAAAGGTCCCTAGGGGACTTCAGGGACCTTGACTTCCAGGAGCCTCGTGCACTGGCCAGGACAGGCAGACTCCACCCAGCTGTGACTCAGTGTGGTACACACAGGTCCCATGAAGCCAGCTCTCAGCTCTTGAAGAAAAGCAAACTCTGGATTTTATCAGGAGATCTCTCCAATTTTATTTATTTTAATTTTTAATTTTTTGTAAAGATGGGGTCTCACTATGCTGCCCACACTGGTCTTGACCTCCTAGGCTCAAGCAATTCTCCTGCCTTGGCTTCCCTAAGTACTGAGATTACAGGCACGAGCCACCATGTAGAGGCTCAATTTTATTGTTGAAGCCTGCATATAAGGGCTTGATCCATGTGGCAACCTTCTCCAAGCCCTCACCTCCAGGCCTCTGCCAATTCCCTCCCCAGCCATCTTCCTGCTCCACTCCCCCTCCCAACCACTCACCCCTGCCCAGAGCCCCGGGTCTTCCCACCCATCATTGCCCAGTTCCTCTTTGTCCAGCCCCCTCCCCAGGTAGGGCAAACGCACAGTATCCCTGTCCTTGCACTCCTGTGTCCTTGGCAGACACAGCTAATTATTCATGAACTGGGCTCAACCCAACGTGGTCTCTACCACAAAATCCATCCAAATGTGGACCTTCAAGAGCCTCTGAATATCAGATTCACAGCATTGCATTTAACTCAATAGACCACCATCTTTTACAACAGCCTCTTTTTTTGGGGGGGTGGGTTTTCATGTGAGTATTTCTTTTTTCCCATCTATTTTATTGCCTTTTAGGTTTTGGGGTACCTGTGAAGAACATGCAAGATTGTTGCATAGGTACACATGTGGCAGTGTGATTTGCTGCCTTCCTCCCCATCACCTACATCTGGCATCTCTCCCCTTGCTATCTCTCCCCAGCTCCCCACCCCCCACCGTCCCTCCCTACAACAGCCTCTTTACTGCCTTTCCGCAGAGCACTCATACTGCCCACAGAGGCCTCTTTTTTTTTTTTTTTTTTTGAGACAGGCTCTCACTTTGTTGTCCAGGCTAGAGTGCAATGGTGAGATCTTGACTCACTGCAACCTCCGAATCCCAGGTCCAAGCAATTCTCCTGCTTCAGCCTCTCAACTAGCTGGAATTACAGGTGTGTGCCACCACACCTGGCTAATTTTTTTTGTGTAATTTTAGTAGAGTCAGGATCTCATCATGTTGGCCAGGCTGATCTCGAACTCCTGACCTCAGGTGATCCGTCCTCCTTGGCCTCCCAAAGTGCTGGGATTATAGGCATGAGATATCGCACCTGGCCTTTTTTTTTTTTTTTTTTTTTTTTTTTTAATGGCATGGTGGCTCACACTTGTAATCCCAGCACTTTTGGCCTCCATCAGGAGGCAGAGGCGGGCGGATGACCTGAGGTCAGGAGTTCGAGACCACACTGCCCAACATGGAGAAACCTGTGTCTCTACTAAAAATACAAAATTAGCTGGATGTGGTGGCGCATTACTGTAATCCCAGCTGCTCAGGAGGCTGAGGCAGGAGAATCGCTTGAACCTGGGAGTCGGAGATTGCAGTGAACCAAGATCACATCATTGCACTCCACCCTGGGCAACAAGAGCAAAACTGTCTCTAAAATAAAATAAAATAAAAATAAAGTTGGGGGCTCACTGCATCACCCAGGCTGGAGTGCAGTGGCACAATCACAGCTCACTGTAGCCTCGACCTTCTGAGCTGAAGGGATGCTCCCACCTCAGCCTAATGAGCACCTAGGACTACAGCACACTCCACTGAACCTGGCCCGAGGGCTCTTCTTAAAACACAAATCACTTTAAGGACTAGATAATCTTATATGAGTTGTTCCAAAGAAAAGAAAAATAGAAAAAGAAGACAAAGCTCATTTTATAAGGCTAACAGGATCTTAATTTCAAAACCAGATGAAAGTTTCCGGAAATAGAAAGTAAGATTACATATCAATCACATGTATATGCAAAAACCTTAAATAAAATAAAACAGATTTGTCCTTATAAAGCAAGGATAATTCAACATAAGAAAATCTATTGGCTGGGCTTGGTGGCTTACACCTATCATTTCAACACTTTGGGAGGCCGAGGTGGGCGGATCACAAGGTCAGAAGTTTGAGAACAGCCTGAACAATATGGTGAAACACCCGTCTCTACTAAAAATACAAAAGTTAGCCAAGTGTGGTGGCGAGTGCCTGTGATCCCAGCTATTTGGGAGTCTGAGGCAGGATAACTGCTTGAACTCAGGAGGCGAAGGTTGTAGTGAGCTGAAATCAAGCCACTGCCCTCCAGCCTGGGCAACAGAGTGAGACCCTGTCTCAAAAAAAAAAAAAAAAAAAAATTACAACTAGTAAGCAAGTTCAGAAAGTGGTCTGAAACACAATCAACTTTACAAAAACCAAAACAGAAACGGTAAAATTTTTTTTGAGACATAGTCTCACTTTGTCATCCAGGCTGGAGTGCAGTGGCGAGATCTCAGCTCAGTCCAACCTCCGTCTCACAGGTTCAAGCCATTCTCCTACCTCAACCTCCTGAGTAGCTGGGATTACAGGCACCTGCCACTACACCCAGCTAATTTTTTGTAGTTTTAGTAGAGACGAGGTTTCATCATGTTGGCCAGGCTGGTCTCCATCTCCTGACCTCATGATCCGCCCACCTCAGCCTCTTAGAGTGCTGGGATTACAGGCGTGAGCCACCATGCCCGGTCATCTGTCCCCACTACTTTTCCCCTTTTTTACATAGCTGGCTCTTACACTGTGAGACTCAAGCAACCCCCACCTGAAAGGCCATGCTGTCTAATATCTCATCCTCATCCCACTGCATTTCATTCCCAGTGGATCCAAGGATCATGTTCACCCTTCAATCCCCATCAGGGACCATAGAGCTCAGAGCTCAGCGCACAGCAGGTGATCTGTACCAGTGCTGACTGGCCAACTGAAGCCACACCCTCCGTATAGCTACGTGATCCCGTCCCCACAGATGTACCCGCAACCAGGCCCTCACCTCTCCGCAGGAGTCTGGCCAGGACCCATCCTGGGCCCCCAGCCACCGCCAGGCGGTGCAGACGGCCCACCTGGGTATCTAGATCCCTCTCGGAGCCCAGCTCCACCGGGAAGCAAAAGGGTGGCGAGGGCATCTGTGGGCTGCAACTCAGTCTGCTCTTGGGCAGGGATCCATGGGG